AGACAGAGTCTTGCTCTGTCACCCAGGCTGGAGTGCAGTGGCGCGATCTTGGCTCATTGCAGCCTCCGCCTCCGGAGTTCAAGTGATTCTCCTGCCTCAGCCTCCGAAGTCCTGGGACTTCAGACACTCGCCACCACACCCGGCTTATTTATTTATTTATTTATTTATTTATTTATTTATTTATTTTAGTAGAGACAGGGTTTCACCATATTGCCCAGGCTGGTCTCAAACTCCTGACCTTGTGATCCCCCCACCTTGGCCTCCCAAAGTGCTGGGATTACAGGCATGAGCCACCACGCCTGGCTTAACAATATTTTTTAGAATCAGTCGTCAGTGTCTCACTATGTTGCCCAGTCTGGAGTGCAGTAGCTATTCACAGGCACAATTAAAGCACATTACAGCCTCAAAATCCTGGTCTTAAGTGGGACTCAAGCAATCCTCCTGCTGGAGTAGCTGATAATACAGTCTGGCACCATCACACCTGGCAGCATTTTAGCAATTTTTTTTTTTTTAAATTGAGACAGAGTCTCCCTCAGTCACCCAGGCTGGAGTGTAGTGGCATGATCTCGGCTCATTACAAGCTCTGCCTCCCGGGTTCACGCCATTCTCCTGCCTCAGCCTCCCCAGTAGCTGGGACTACAGGCGCCCCCCACCACACACAGCTAATTTTTTTGTATTTTTAGTAGAGAAGGGGTTTCACCATGTTAGCCAGGATGATCTCGATCTCCTGACCTCATGATCCGCCTGCCTCGGCCTCCCAGAGTGCTGGGATTACAGGCGTGAGCCACCGCGCCCGGCTCATTTTAGCAATTTTTAAGTGTATAATTCAGTAGCAGCATAAAGTACATTTGGATTGTTGTGCAAGCGTCACTATTAGCTATCTCCAGAACTTTTTCATTATCCCAAATTAAAACTCTGTAACCATTAAACAATTATTATCTGCTGGGCTTGGTGGCTCATGCCTGTAATCTCAGCACTTTGGGAGGCCAAAGTGGGCAGATCGCCTGCGGTCAGGAGTTTGAGACCAGCCTGGGCAACATAGCAAAACCTCTCTCTAGTAAAGATACAAACATTAGCTAGGCGTGGTGGCAGGCGCCTGTAATCCCAGCTACTCTGGAGGCTGAGGCAGGATACAATATTTATCCTTTTGTTTCTGACATTTCATTTAGCATAATGTTTTCAAGGTTCATTTATGTTGTATATGTGTCAGGATTTAATTCTTTTTAAAAGCTGAACAATATTCCATTGTAAATATACACCATATTTGGTTTATTCATTTGTCCATTGATAGGGCTGTTTCTACATTTTGGCTACTGTGAATAATGCTACTATGAACATGGGTGTACAAATATTTATTTGAGTCTCTGCTTTCAGTTCTTTGGGTTATATATGTAGAAGTGGAATTGCTGGATCATATGGTCATTCTATGTTTTATTTTTTGAGGAACTACCATACTGTTTTTCTTTGGAGGGGAAGACAAAGTTTCAATATTTTGCCCAGGCTGGGCTTGAGCTCTTGATCCTCCTGCCTCAGCTCTGTGAGTAGCTAAGACCACAGCGACATGCTACCATACTCCATATTTTGTGTTTTCTTTTTTTTAATTTTTTCTTTGAATTGAGACGGGGTCTCCCTATGTTGCCCAGGCTGGTCTTGAACTACTGAGCTCAGGGGATCTGTCTGCTTCAGCCTCCCAAAGTGCTGGGATTATAGGTGTGAGCCACCTTGCCTGGTGCATATATTTCCTCTTTTTTTTTTCTTTCTTTCTTTCTTTTTTTTTTTTTTTTTTTGAGGCAGAGTCTTGCTCTGTCGCCCAGGCTGGAGTGCAGTGGCGCGATCTCGGCTCACTGTAAGCTCCGCCTCCCGGGTTCACGCCATTCTCCTGCCTCAGCCTCCTGAGTAGCTGGGACTACGGGCGCCCACCACCATGCTCTGCTAATTTGTATTTTTAGTAGAGACAGGGTTTCACAGTGTTAGCCAGGATGGTCCCGATCTCCTGACCTCATGATCCGCCCGCCTCGGCCTCCCAAAGTGCTGGGATTACAGGCATGAGCCACGGTACCCTGTCCAGTCTCAGGTATTTCTTCATAGCAACGTGAAAATGAACTAATACATATCCCAGAACCAGAAAATGTGAGAGTAGGAAAACAATTTACTGTCCTTGGGAACAGATAGACTTTTGGTCAGTCGGACTAGAGCAGAGCTCTATTGTTGGACAAATCCTAAGTTCAAAACATTTTATGTGTTGGCACTGATGCATGCAATTGCACTATTAGTGTTTTATTATTTGAAGTTATTGGCCCATATTAACTTGGAGAATTAACTTTCGGATATTTAATTAACACATTAGAGTGAATAAATGTATCAGGCTTTTCCAACAAGACATTCAGCCTAAAATAGGTTTGGAAAGAAGGTAAAGAACTAAGTCTAGCATAGGGCTGCTTGCTTGGAGAGTAGATTTGTTTTGGAAACCCTGGGCAGAGGAGGCATAATGGCAGTAGACACATACCAAGGAGCAGAGGGCACAAGAAAAGGTGATGCATTTGGAATATTCACCATTTTATGTTAGTTACATAAGATCCAGCAGCCAACCAGATTTTGGTTATGTGTTACCAACTTTCAACTCTAAAAAGTACTGGCAGTTTAAATAACTTTATTATAATAATGAGGTAAAAACTTAAGAATAGTATGAGCCGGGAACAGTGGTTCACACCTGTAATCCCAGCACTTTGGGAGGCCGAGGCGAGCAGATCACTGGAAGTCAGGAGTTTGAGACCAGCCTGACCATCATGGTGAAATCCAGTCTCCACTAAAAATACAAAAATTAGATGTGGTGGTGGATGCCTATAATCCCAGCTACTTGGGAGGCTGAGGCAGGAGAAGCTCTTGAATCCAGGAGATGGAGGTTGCAGTGAGCCCAGATCACACCACTGCACTCCAGCCTGGGTAACACAGCAAGACTCCATCTCACAAAAAAAAAAAAAAAAAAAAAAAAAAACAAAAACTTGTATATACACACAATATA